TTTCCTCCCCTCTCCCGAAAAGGGTCTAATTGTTAAAACATTTTCTGAAGAAGCTGTTTCAAGCTTTTCTGCTATGCTAGACTTCATCTCTGGTGATTAGCAGCCTCTTTCCTTTGAAGATTTAGTGCAAGCAAACTATACTTCTGTGACCTTTCATTTATGTTCTGAACTCTGAAAATTCTTGCTTGGAACAAAAGAAGAAATGCACATGCCAGCCTGACAAAAGGAAAATAGTTTTCTGAAACAGAAGGATATAAATCAGGAAGCAATTCTTTATTCTTGCCTATTTAGATATTCACTTTTTCTAGCCCAGGGAATATAATTTATCTTTAGAAATTGCTATTCAGAATTTGTCCTCACAGTTGAGCCTTGGGCATGACACATCAGTAATTTGTTTTCAGTTTGTGGCTCTGATTTAGACGTGCTGTACAGCCTTGTCAAGTGACCAGTGACAAGAGTAATCGGTCCTAACAGAGATCAAAAGATTGACTTTTAAATCTGAGTGAGTCACTGTCAGGATGCTAATCTGAACTGGACACTCTTTACAGGTACAGATTCATTTTCTCATTACACAGACAGTTAGAATAGATCAGATGAGTTGCCTTGTGACAGTACTTATTTATCTACAGCCTATATTCCCTATCGAGGAGCTCCAAGGTGGCAGGGTCCTACTTAGCATTGGCCTCTTTAAAATAAACCTTTTGGTGAAGACTCCCACTTCAAGTCTCTCTGGTGCTATTGATAAAATTATGGTAGTACCTTTCTATTCTTTGTTTGCTTTTTCTTTTCAAATAGGACTGTATTGGTGAAAAATGAATGCTTTATCATGTGAATTTGTGGTGTCTACCTTGGCTGGAGGGTGGAGGGGAAACAATGATTCAGGCAGGGTTCTTCTCAAAAAATACAAATAATAAGCCATGGCCCCAGACTTTAATGGAGATAATGTTTTCAAATATGATGAAACACAAAGACATTTGTAGCATTGTTAAAGGGTGCTAGGAAAGATCACAATGCTCCAGAAAAGAGTCCTTATGTCTAAGAACATTACATACTGAACCTTTGGGAGCTGTACAAGTTCATCAGTAAAATCTGTGTCCCTTTGGTTTTCTGAAGTCATAAATTTGACTTAACACTAAAAACATCACTGGACAGTGGTTGCTGAAATTAGATTTTCGATTTCCAGTATGCAATTACTGGAAATGCAGGAGAATTATTTGGCTGAAATGAGCTTGTCTCTTGCCACAGGTAATCCATGTCTAGCTTTCTGAAAATGCACTACCACCTCTGATGAGTAATAATTCAGTAATTATTTTCATTTTAGCAGTACTTTGTTTACAGCAAAATATTTACAAATATCTACTTTTTTACTCTTCTAAGGTCTCGTTCATGTGCCTTAAGATGACATATATATTGAATCCCTTTCTGGTGGTTTTGTACAGCTGTTGTTGATAATTTTTTACATTAACTTGAATAAGGCTTGTTTCCATTCTCCAGTGTTGGAATTAATTTAATTTTTCACAAGTGCTTGTCAAAATAGTTTTATTTTTGATCCTCTCTGGTGATTTATGAATATTTCATAACTGCCTGGTGATATGCCTGTTGCTATCTACATTTTTCCTTAGAGACAACCAGCAGAATACTACAGTTAATCAGTTTTCTTTGACACTATTCATAAATGGATAAACCATATAAATTAATTCCATCTGACTGTCTCTCATCTAAGAGGGAGCATAAGGCATAACTCAAAATATTTCTAGACAATTAAGAGAGTGATGTTACTGAAGTTCAAACATTTCTGCTGTTTGCCTCCATTATAGAATTGAGTTTAACTGGTCCAGGCTAGTCCTGGTAGAACTAGTGTGTGAGAACATGCAGAGAGGTTGGTTAGTGTGGTTTCATAGATAATATACCTTCCTCTCAACAACAGACATTGTCCTTTCTTTCCTAAAACTTCACTCTCAAAAAATAAAATGCTGTGGAATGATAATTCTGGTCCAGCAGGAAATGCTTGCTCATGATGTTGCAGCTGATGCAGAAACAGTCATTTTCACAAAAGAAAAGCTCTGGGAAAACAATTTCACCTGGGAAATTGGAAGAAGATTTTTTTTTTTTAAGTAAAAAAACCACAAGATAGAACTGGAGAAAGAGAGTATAGAGAAAAAAAATAACACTAATGTTCAGAGGTAGAGCAACATGGAAAAGAAAGGAACAAAGAGAATGAGCTAAAGGGGGAGCAGGATGTAAAAATTAATGCATAAATGTTTTGAAAGGCTTATCAGAGGGAAGACATGAAAAATAAAAGTACATATGAATAAAGACGATTGAACCACGTGTTCTGAGGTATTTAGAGAGCAGTTTCATGCAACATGATGAAAACCTTTTATTTATAACAGCACACTCTGCCAACACTTAAATAAGTCTGAGCTGATTCCATTAACATCAGCAGCTTTCCATGTAACAATTTTCAAATTAAAAAAAAAATCAGAAAAGTCAGATGACTCCCCTGGAATTCATGGGCTATGCAGCAATATAAACTAAAAGAAGAATTGAGCAAGGTCAGTTGAGTCAGTGCCAGTAATAACAATTTTCTGTGCTATTTTGGGATTAGTGTCATAAAGACATAAAGTTTGTTCAAACCTTACTTTGTGGTGTTACTTTCATCATCCTAAGAGGTATAGTTTCTTTTGAAAAAAAAAAATTGTAAAAATACAAAAAATAAACCCAAGTCTGGGAATTTCTGATAGTTATTTTAGTAAAACAATCTTATTTGCACTTAGCAGGTAAATATTTATGAATCAGCTCTCACTCAGCTAGTTATATGCACTCATATTTGAATATATAAGCTACTATTTTCTTCACATTTTAAAAAAATACTACTCATAAAAGATTTTCATGAGTGCTTTTCACATGTTTTCCTTTTGGGATCAATAGTGCCCTGAGGGTTACTATGCTCAATTTGTCTTTCTTGCTGGAGGTTGCTGAAGGTCCTAGAGACCATCTCTCTGAAGTGAGAACAAAGGCAACACTTGAGCATATCCTTTCTAAATGAAGCAAAACAGTGGGAAAGAAAATTCCAGGCTCTGGGACTGGGGTGAGAGGCTGGAGTATAGGAAGAGTGTTAACTTCTCTTTATACTCTTTGATACACAGAACAGAGATAAATAAAGAGCAACTATTGTCCAACAGATGTACTCTGAGCTAAGCCTCTATCAATCCAGTCATGACTGCATTAATGAAGTGGGATAAAGAGATTGCCCTGAAAAAAAGTGACATAAGTCACTTTTCCCAGTTCCCTAATAATTTCCTTCCTTGGTTTTCTTTTATTGCGGTGTCCCTATTATTAGATGCCAAAAGTTCAGAGGATTTGGCAGACGGCTGCTATCATGTGGCAGCCCCCTTTGGTGCGCAGTAGATATGTTGTGGGTTTGCATTGTGTATGTCCTTTCCACATGCTTGAATCAGGGGGCTCTTTTTATCCCATGCAATGCTGAAACACTGGCACAAAAATGCAGCTGGGGCTGTAAAGAACACCATCAGCTTGAAGGCCAGCCCTCAGAGCAACTTTATTGGGCAACAAGGTAAGATTTTAAAAAGAAAAGGACCAAAAAAGGCAACAAGCACAGCAGGCTTTTTGATTCCATTTATCAAAAGTGGAGTTTTCCAGTAGGGTTGCAGATTTCTCTTACCAGTGGGCTTTACCATTATGCCAATGGTAAGCACCTGAAATACCTCCAAGGTGACTATCAAAAGTTCTATTCATAACATGTCAGATTCTATTACTGCAAGAGAAGATGAAATCAGCTATTTTCCAGACCCTGCTTGGAGAGATGATTTGACTACAGCAAAGTGAAAAAACACATCCATTAACTGTAAGATCTTCAAGTCAGGGATTTTCCATCTTATAATATATCTATTGAAAAAAGGAAACTAATAAAGGATATCATTAGTAAAATTATAAAAGCCTATTCTTATATTTAGTAATAGAAGTACTTAAAAAGCTGAGAGCAGCAGGGTGTATAAATCCTTCTCTGAAAGACAATGTATTTGTACGTTAAATGAGGTTGGTAGAAAATCCAGCTGTGAGCATGGATAGATTTTTTTTTTCTATTGTTTTTAGAGAACCATATTCTTTGTGTCAGAATTAATTTAATGTCTGACTGGAATCCTCTGTTTTTGTCTATACAGCTATTATGAATTTAATCTTTCTTAAGATCAAAAATAATTCTTTTTGCAGCTTTGTTGTACCAAAAGAGGAGTTTTGAAAAAACGATTTTTACCTAAATTAAAGGTTTTCTTGTCCTTACCATGTCCTTACATCTCTTCAGTCTTGTTCTCATCATACCTGAGGTATTTCCCATAGGTATGAAATCTATTAATGAGTTGGCTGTAAAACAGTCAGGCAATTACATTCTCTGAGATTCTCTGTCTGGAAGAAACAGCAGCTAAAGGCAGACTGCAAACTTAAATACAGGCCGAAGGTGTACCAAGTCAGATTTTAAGGGGAAAAGTACAAATTAAAATACAATACTATAATTGTTATGATAAAAATTATAATATGATGTTAAAAATTATTTCTGAACACTCCTAGTGATTGAATCGTCTTGACTCGGCAAAATCTTCAGTGTCACAAGCAAGCATTTGACACTGGCAAATATTTCTGCCACAGAAGCTATTATGTCAGATCTATTTTTGAGGTGCTCATGCCATAGAATTCAACTGTACCCCCATAAATGTTCTGTAAAGAAAACACCAGGTTAGGTAAATACTGAACAGACTTAATTCTGTCTGATTTTCTTTCTCAATCCTGTTTATGCTGAGGATGCATAGATCTTACTGCTTGACTAACTTTTACAGAATATTCTGTTTTAAATTCTATCACAGCTAAAATATGGCCAAATTTTATGAGTAAATGTTTCTCTTTTTCCTTTAAATAAACATGAATTGAAGAGGCCATGCCTGCAATGTAGCCTTCAACTCTCTCTGAAGTTGTGAGAAGTCTCACTTTGAAAGAGTGGAGTCAGAATAACTGAATATAAGCTCTGAAGGACAGTCTAAGAAGATGATGGGGTGGACTTTAATCTTCATTAGACTAGTGCTGTCCTTTACAGAGTCATGACTGAGACCAGAGTCTGACCTGCAGACTAAGGAAAACATTGTCTCTTATGGCAGGAGCTGCTTGGCTAGAGGCAAATTGTCAACAGTGGTAATAAAAGGCAAAAGACCAAGGAAAAGGGCAATTGCCAGGATTAAAAAGATTTAAAAAGGTCTAAGAAAGGTCTACCATGGGGTGGACAAATACTAGGATAAAGCCCCAGTGTATCCTCCTATAATATGAGATAATGAGAGTCTGGAGTCTGACTAAAGGTGTGCCTGACGAAGCTGGACTTGAAACACTCATATTCACACACTGGGAGAGGATCCTATCCAAGAGGGAGAACTCTATGGGCTTTCCTTTGTTCTCCTCAGTTACCACGAGAGGGATTCAAAGGATGATGTGACCATTCTCCTCACACTTAGAAGGACCTTGTGTTTGTGGTGGACATACGAGTGAAAGTGGATTTTCTTCTTCTTCCTACAGAGGATTGTGGAGTAGCTTCCAAGCTGATGAAAGAATTGCAGATTGCTATTTACAGAAAAGCTGAAGAACATCAGGGTATCACCTGCAGAATACTGACCCATAAGAATGCTGTAAAAATGCTGAAGGGAGATCTGGAGGCACTTTTCAAAGTGATCATCTTTTATTTTTCTTCTGCTTTAGGAAAAGGAAGAGTTTAAAACTCCAGGCTTCTACATTCCCTCCCTTCAAGTCACTCTGAGATTCCCAGTCTTGTGGCTAACCTGGACAACCTGTAGGTAGAGGGATGCAGGATCATAGGGTGGACAAAACCAGTATGATGCATTTAACAATTATGGATCATGCTGGGGAACAAAAGATAATAAAAAAAAAACCCTAATATACAATGGAGGCTTAAGGAGACCAGCAAGAACTATGAGTGCATGATCAAAATGCTCCTTATGTTGGCCCAAGTCACCAACAAAACATCACAATTTATATTTTCAGATGCCAGAATGGGATTTTAACAGATGCCAGTTGAGATTTTATCTTCTAAAAATTTTAGTTCATCTTAAGAGTAAAGTTAAACATAGAGAACTGCATTATGAAAGTCAAGAAAAAATCACACAATGATTGAATTGTTTGTTCTATGAAGTGCACTGTAGCAGATAAATAGGAGAATATCTATCTGTAAATCTATCAAAGCCTTCAAAGACCCCATAATAAAGAGCCCAGCCTAAACAATTTCTGGAAATTGAAATTCCCTTGTGTCTGACTTGCCATCTGACTCTACAGAAGTTCAGCCAGAGTAAAAGTAGATTCTGATGTTTATATTGTGTGGTGTCTCTTTGAGTTCACGATGAATTAGTTCTCATTTTTTACTTTCAATGCAAGCTTAGATGGTAATGTGAAACATTGAGTGTAAAACCTTCATGAACTGCACAAGCATAGGAGCAATCTAGAAGTTTGGAGCCTGGAATTAAAATCAAGTTCAGTATGTCGTATATAATTTCCTTGATTTATTTGAACTCTATTGTTGTTTTTGTTAGTATTACTTATTTAAATGTTTAACTTAAAGTTTAAAGTTGAATATTAAGCAGAGATGTGACACTGATAATGCACTTCCTGATTATTTCCTAATGTTATGTTGTTTTGGTATTTGAAATAGTCATTATTTTTATGTCCTTGGAAAGAACATACCTCAGCAATACTACAGATAAGGAACTAATGTTGTGTTTTGCTGGCAATAACCATCACATTTTGTATGGATGCTCACTGATAATTGCAAAATTGTGTATTCTGGCATCTCATTCACAAGACTACTCTTTTTAAAATGCCAAATTACAAAACTGTGGTGGCAAAAATTTCACGAACCATGTATTTAGAGAAACATTAACAGAGAATTTATTAGAAATTGGGATTTTCTGGACCTGAATGGTAGAATGAAGACTCTTAGAGTCTTATGTGTTGGAATAAGGGAACAAACTGTGAGACAGAACCATCAGTTGAGGATGAAATAAAGGAGATGAAGGAGAGAGAGAAGGACTGAAGAAAGAATTTCTCAGAGTAAAGCTGGAAGGAAGATAGTTGGAATAGTAGAAAAGGACTGGGAGTCTTGCCATTGTTCTTCAGTCAGTCTTTCAACAAGGTGGTCCCAATAAAGCCCCTCCTGAAGATCATCAAGAGATAGACACAGGAGATTCCCAACCAAACAAAATCTCCCTCAAACTGTTAATCTGGAAGGTGGCTGTAAGACACAGGTGTGTTCCAGAGTGATCCTCAGGATGGATCTTGTTCATTTTGTGTCAAAATCCAGTTTGATCCCTTTTAATTCACCAAGACATTTCTGCTTTCAGGTTTTGAAGACACTGAGTGAGAACAGCAATTGCTTTGGATTTGTTTCCTTGGGCACTGTTGGGCACAGAGATATCCAAAATGAGACTATTTTGTTTTGTGATTTTGCAGAGCTGCTTCCTTGGGTCCGTTCACCCACCTCTTCACAGCTGGCCCTGATTGCCCCTCTAGGAGTGGGGAGTTTGTGGAGTGTGGCAACCAAATGCACACAGAGCACAGCATATGCAAAGCCTCAGTGTAATTCCTCAGTGTAGCCTCCCTGAAAAAAAATGTAATAATCTCTGCACCAGTTAATATTTTAGGTCAAATCCTGGCCTTGCTGAAAAGACAAAATCCCTGGTGAATTAATGAAAACAGAATTTTTCATCCTTGTGTTCCCTTACAGGTGCAATATATAAGGAGAATTTATTAACTGCCATAGAGTTCAGAGTAGGCATTAGTGTGATTTGAGTAAAAAATATTGAACAAAAAGGAAATTAATTCTTCCCTTTTTCCCTTACATTTTTAACTGATGTGGCAATTTAATAAGCCAGACAATTTTGATTTAAAAAAAAATATTCTGCTTTAAATAACAACTCTTCTCATTTTTTAATAATAAATGGGGTAATTAACCATCTGAAGACATTAAAAATACACTGCAAAATCTGTCGAATGGAATGACCCAAACTTCCAGAAGTCTGGAAACTCTTGTTAGCATGCAAAGCTGTGTCCATGAAAGTATTTTTTCATACTTGCCTGGAGTTTTAGAATATGTAATACTCATCTGTAGGACAATAAATAATAGAGTTAAAAATTTGTGTTAAATTGAAGTAACATGTATTTAAAAAAACTTGCTCGTTCAGACACTAAGAAATACAGCCATTCACTTTCAAAAACTTGCATTTCATTCATACTTGGAGTTTAAACTTTGAAAACTGTTTCAGGTATTTTATCTGCAATGCCATTCTTCGCTAATAATTCGTCCCTGGTTCACTGCAGCAGATCTGCTCAGGATGAAGAACTGATTGCACTGATTTGCATTACCTATGGCAAACATTAAGAAAGGGGGTGCTGAATGTGAACAGCTTTCAGCAGCATCAGATCGGTTTTTGAAAACCATCTAGGGTGAAATGTATGGAAACTCTTCTTACTGTGAGCAGCATATTTAGCCATTTCATTGTAGTCATCCTTTTTTACTTTTCTTTGAAAGACTTGGTATTAAATACAAATAAGCAAGGCTATCTCTGATTTAAAAAATAAGGCCTTGAAATGGAATAATTAAAAGACACCTGAGAACATAAAAGGGTAAAAAGAAAAATTGATAGGGTAGATCAAACATTGCTGCATTTTGCTTCATTTTAAAGATCTGTATCATGTTCAGTGAGAGCTGCTGCCTGTCAAGTTACAGCCCTCTGTTATCCTATCCCTCACACAGGTTTTGGTTCATAACCAAACTCCTTAGCCGCAGGCAAACATTAATAATACATAATGTCTTGCTATATAATAATAATACATAATCTCTAGGAAGTGCTAATAGCACTTGCTAGCTTGACATCTCATTGACTCTAGCCTATAATGATATTTACATATATTTCTCCATAGTGTATAAGTGAATATCAAACCACTGAGACAAGCGAATACCTCAAGAAGAGCTGAACACATGAATTGCAAGACACAATAAATTTCTTCTGCCATTACATCATCTCCCAGGCTTTAAAATCTGTTTCAGAAGGGTTTTTTTCCTCCACATAAATGCAATGATAACACTGACAAGAAATAGGAATTCTGGTGATATACTCTTGGCTCACCTTTTCTGTATCTTTTGACAACAATAAAATCTTGCAGTAGAAGCATAAATAGTATTTGTCATCTTTGTATATGCTGTTAGAGCTGAATAATTTCAGACAAGAACAGAAGATAATCTAACTCTGTCAGAGGAATGAAAGACTGAATGACATGACAGCTGTGAAGTTCAGTAAGCACCATGAAAATAAACTGTTCTCATGGAGTACTAAGTACTGTTTCCAGAAATTACTACTATTATACTATACCAACATACCAATCTAAATTCTTTTAGCTCATGCATAAAAAGAGACTCTAGAATAAATCAAAATAATACTAGCATAACTGAAGCTGATGTCACCACAAGCAGAGCTGCCTGTATTTCTTAGAAACTGCAGAGATTAGTGAAAGCTGGGGACAAGAAGGACAGTTTCTTGGAAATGGCAACTGTGAAGACAACTACAGCCAAGAGTCAGTAGATTTGGTAACCTATCAGAAAAGGGACTCTGCTCTGTCCCTGATTTTCTTTGCAAACTGGATTGCAGGGTAATGGATCAAAGTGTCTGTTGCACTACAGCTTCACTCAACCAGAAACATGAAGGGCACTTCTATGCCAGTACAAGTCCCAGCTACCGCAGAGCCAAGAGCTGCTGTTTAGCCTGACAACTTCCAAAAGCTTTTCAGGAGCAAGGCTGGCTGCAGCAAAACATGCCTTCTTCTCAGTGGAACAGTGTGTTTCCAGCTGTGTGATCAAGCTCAGACTGCAATTCAGTAAGTTAAATATAGTTTGGAAAGGGCATCAATTTTTATGAGCACACAGACAGCTTTACTACACTAAAGTATTGCATTAGTGAATGAGTGAACGCAGAGCAATGACGGAAGGAAACAACGCTTCCTTCAGCACACACATGCCTCTCATATCAAAGGAGGCAAGCCCATTTTTGTTCACTTCTGCACAGCTTAGGTTTCCACACTTTTTTTCACTACAACTTTAAATATTATACACATTTTAAGCTTTGTCATCTAGAGGGTTAAAAGACATTTTCACTTTTCTGCTATAACTGTATTAGCATACACAAGTTGCTTTGACAGCCCTGCAAAATGAATTCTGATCATCTCCAGAACAGGTACAGCAAGTCAGAAATGCCACATTTTTTTTTTCCACATTACTGTATCAATAAGTTTCAGCTTCTGTTCAAACAGACTACTTCTAGGAACAAAAGGACGATTTAATCTCCATGTTCATTCAGTTTTTGGCCTCTGTAAAGAGACTGCCAAAAAAGTTGCCAATTAGTGCTAATTGTGGAGAAGGTTTTTGTGATGTGTGATGTGCAATGTGCACCCTTCTCCACTGAAAATTGGATTACAACCATCAAACTCATTTTCTATGCTGCTGATATATTTTATTTAGGTCACCAGCATTTCTGCTGTTAGCCTTTTTAAAAGTAGTGCCTGATCAGATGAAAAGAGTTTGAAAACTCATCTAACTCTATTCTCTCAATGTGTTAGATGCATTTGGGGAGGTTATGTTGAATTTTCTTAACCACAATACACAAAAAACAAAATAAGACTTCAAGAGCCTTTTGGTTCTTGTGTGGTTATGTAATAATAACATTAATATAAAGGATTTCCATTTTTAGACATCAAACCCCTGACAGATGCTTTTGGATCTAGTTGCATCTAGTTAGTCTTCTTTATTATGGCACACTTTGATCTGAAGAATTCCTTGTCTGTGATCAAATGTAAAATGAATTTAGATTCATTCCCTTTCATCTCATGTGAGCAAGATGTGTGAACCATTTACTTAGCCCTGTGACTTTGTATGATGAGTATTGTCTTTTTCACTGGTTCCTGGTGAGATTTTTTCTTTTTCTGGTAGATGAACCAGCTCCTTTATATGATCTTACAAAAGACACAGGCAGAATGTCACTTCACATTTATCAAGAGCAAGCCCCACAATCTCTTTAACAAGTGATGTTTTACAATGTCTTGCAGGAGATTTTTTACAAACTGATGTTAATTAGCCCAGAAAAAAAAAAAAAAAAAAAAAGCAATTAAGGCATCAAAACTGCGTTTGGAAAATCTGAAAGGTTTTACTCAACCTTGGAGAGGTTTGATATTATGAAGGTTAAAATGACAAAAGACTCCTTAACCCATCTCCTTATAACTAAGCATTGTAGTAATCAGACAAGAAAGTTTACCCTTGTTTAGGAGCCTTTGCTGCCACTATTAAGGCTCCACAGAGTGTGCTGAAAGAGTTTTTTAGTAATATTTGTTTATTTGTTTTCACAGGTTTTTACCACGTCATTTTTATAACTGTGCACATTTCCTATACCTAAATGTTGTTATTAGAAGGAATATGGAAAAGGCAAACAGGTACTTTTCCCCTCACACTTTTACCATCAGTAGTTTAAAATGAAGTTTTACTATATGGCAATCATTTAAATTCTGAACTCTCAATTTGCCCATAATATTATCTTTAACCTGTTAGAAAAACTAATGTTCACAGAATCTTTGCAGAAAAGGTTCTTACATATTTATTTATTTTGTACATATGATTTTTGTTACTCATTTATTTGCAAACAATTTTACAACTGGCATTTGTGTCTTAGGCCAACATCTTTAAAAGTGAGATACTGTCATTGACTAAAATCCTACAAGCATTTAAATGTACACATAATTCATCTGTTTAAATAGCCCCCTACACAATAAAAGGGGTGCATGCATGGCACTGGCAGGAGAGACACCTTTGAACAGAACAGGATGGTTTCAAATGTGTGATCCTTGCAGTAAGCATCTTCAGCTGAGATTAACTTCAGTAGCCCAAAGTGAGCCTGGCACTGCTCAACACCTCTGTCATTGTGGATTTCAGAAAGGGGTTTGGTTATATTCTTTCTGTGTTTGTCTTGCTTACAAGGTCCTCAGCTTCCTTCAGCATGAGGTGTCAGCCCAGTTCTCTACTCTGCAGTGATGCCTGGAAATCAGCATCTCTGCCAAACCTGTTAAGTGTCGACAGTAAGAGTAAAGTCTCTCACATCCACCCATCCCCAGGAATCCCCATGCCTCTGCTTACAAGGTGGATGGCTCCCCATTCAAGCTGAAACTCTTAAAGTGAGCTTTAGATTACCCTAGACTGCTGGATTTGTATTCTGCACTTCTGGGGTTAACCTGTGACAATATGCCAAATGTCAGGACTAAAATTGAGCATAATTTCAGCTTGAAGATTTTTTTTTTGCCCAAATTATTAACCCTTAATTTGAAGTATTGAATTAAAAGGATTACCTTCTCGATAACAGCAGCTGTTATTAACTTGAACATCTGTACAATGTTTTAGCTTTAATCTCAACCCATATTTTTGATACCTTTGCTTGTTTTTAGTGTCAGTTTAGTGTATTTGAAATACTTCTTAAAGGAAAGCTACTTTAATGCCACATTCTGTTGTAGGTTTGGAAAGAGAAGTAAAGTTTATTAAATTCTTAAAAAGGTCTGTAAAATCAATAACTGCTGAACTGACCCAGTAGAAAAAGCCTGCAGAAGGCTAACTTCATCTTTTCAGCCCCTTTATATCTGTGTGGGACCTGCTTCTGGAAGAGCAGAGAAATTGCTGGATTGTCTTTTAGAGTGAAGAGATTTAAAAAGCAAATGTCACAGCTTACTGGACTGCACAAGCAGAGGCCAGGGGTGCGTTGTGAGGGTGAAGAAGCAGTTTCTGAAAATACATTACTAAATAGCAAAAGGTGAGCTTCGTTTCACAAGCAGAAATATAAAAATATTATAAGCTCTCTGTTGCTGTCCTTTTGGTTGACCAGAAAGTGCAAATAAACTTCCAGTCTGAGTGAGAATTGACAATAAGTATGGAGAATTCTGTAAACTTTTGAAATTCTGTTGTTTTTCAGAATAGACAGCTAAAAATACAACATGAAGGAGCTGATAAAATCACTATATTGTCCGATACAGCCCAAGAAAGCAGTCGCAGCATACTGCTGTTGCTGAGCTTACATGGAAATATATCAAGCCATGGTAGCTGAGTCCCTTGCAAATGCATGGGATTCCAGTACTTGTCCAAGGCAAAGCTGTAGTTTCTCTTTCTTACTACTTTATAAAACTTTCTTCTGTTTTGGCAGGAATTCAACTCAGTGAGTCCTTCTCCCCAAGCTAAAGTTTCAGCAGCACACATTATACATAGGGCAATATACATTATTACTAAAGGCAATGCTTAAATGTAAAGGAATAAAAAGATACATATGGTATGTATGACCTGAAGCTTATTGGCACATGATTGAAATACCTTTTATTGGCTCTTTATACTTAAGTTATGGGAGCTGGTAAAATCTTAATGTCAAACCACCTTAATCCTATCATTACCTTTTTAGCCATTTTCTGTTGGAATAAAAATTCCATATGTCAAACACATTCCATCATTTCTATTTGTTTTCTGATTGGCTTAAAAGCCTTAACCAATTTTCTTCTTCAATCATTTTTTTGTCTTTAAGGTATTGTTTCCACGTAATTCTTATTACTATTACTATTGCTGTTACTATTGCTATAGATATTACTATTGCTATTAATATTGATGTTAATATTAATATTGATGTTGGGTAATCGATTAATTCCTCTGGATGGCAGTAAAGAGGCTGATGTTGGGGTGCTTTTTCACATCAGATATTTGTAAGCCACATTGTGTTGAACATTACGTCAGGCCCTTTGAATTCCCAAGTGTTGCAGTCCTGGGATAATAGGAAGGCAGGGAATCTCAGTCTCAAACTGAAATGTTCCAGTCTTCAAGAAATATTTCTGGCCCAAATTTCCTCCTAATAAATCACAACCTTTCTGGCTTGCACACAGTTCCGTAGGTTATGGCCAAAAAAATTTAATGCCACTTGAAATCACTTAAATGTCATGCATGCTTTCCCAGCACATGTACAGAGTAAATTGAAACAATCTGAAAATTAGCCCATGAAATGGCAGATATGTCTGCTATATCTTATTGCTTAGGTAACTGATGGGATGTTTCAGCAGTCAAATTAGTAGCCCAAAATATCAATCATTTAAATTAAAAATGAATTCTGCATTTT